GTCGCTACACACACACTGCTCGAAATTTTTTCTACGTTGGCTCACTGTTTGCTATCTCTGGCTCCTTAACAAGCAGTCACAGCTTCAGTTCGTTTGCTATTTTGCTAGCAATATTCTTAAAACCAATACTGGTACCTGTAAAATAAATTATTACATTAGAAGGTGTTTTAAATTAATGCAAATTAGTGTTTTAATATTTTAAACCGACTTTATTACAATATACTGGAATCACCAATATTATGAGCTGCGCCAAATGACGCTTTTTCGCTTTAAGTTAAGAGTTAGCGAAGAGTTTTTTTTTCGGGGAAGCCGTCTGTTATATATCGGTCATAGTAAGAGCTATTTAGCTCATTGCATAACATTTATTCATGAATTACACAATTCTGGAACCTTATACTGATCACATATATTTCACACCCTTAAAGTATTCTTGCGTACTATCCATTCCAGAATACGAGCAAAATTAGAACACAGCATAAGTAAAACACAGTTCGGTTTTAGATGCAGTTTTGGAACTCGAGAGCCCCTCTTTGCAATACAAGTCTTGATTCAAAAATGCCTGGATCAACAGAAAGATGTTTACGCCTGTTTTATCGACTATGAGAAAGCATTCGATACTATCAAACATGACAAACTCATATAACTGTTACATCTTACAGGACTTGACACTAAGGACATCCAGATTATAAAAAATCTATATTGGAATCAAACAGCCCACATGAAGAATGGACATCTGGTGAATGAAAACGTAACTATTTCGAGGGGTTAGACAGGGCTGTATTCTTTCGCCACGGCTTTTCAACCTGTACACGGAACAAATATTTCTGGAGGCACTGGAAGATGCAACTAGAAACCGATTTGAACTAAAGATCAATAGAAAGAAAACTAAATTTATGGTGATCAGTAAAATGAACATTCAACATATAAACCTGATTAAGATTAAGATCCGAATTGAAATAATAAGATCCAAATTCATCAAAATGAGAAAGCTCTTAAGCAACCGCAACCTAAGCGTTAACCTCCAATGGCGCGCCACGAAATGCTACGTACTCTCTACGCTACTTTACGAAGTAGAAGGGTGGACGTTAACAGCAGCAACTATAAAGAAGTTAGCGGCTCTAGAAATGTGGCTGTATCGACGCATACTGAGAATACCTTGGACAGACAGAGTGACTAACACAGAGGTATTAAGACGAATGGGTAAAGAGGTGAAATTATTAACAACTGTTAAAAGAAGGAAAGCGTCATACCTGGGCCATATGTTCCTTAATGATAAGTACAGTCTGCTACAGCTTATCGTGGAAGGCAAGATTAAAGGTAGAAGTGGTTTGGACAGAAAGAAGAAATCCTGGCTGAGAAACTTGAGAGAATGGTTTCAAATACCAGAAGCTGCGAACATAATACATGCGACACAAAACACAGAAACCTATCGTTTGATGGTCGCCAACCTTCGGTAGAAGACGGCACATAAAGAAGAAGATACCGCCATATTGGAATTGGTACCATATGTTTGTGGAGTCACTTGATAATACTAGTATATGGAAAAAATACTCATAATCTTAATCTTAATAGTTTTTATTAATAAAGTTGGTAAATTTTGGACTACCAGTTTCAAGGCTTACAATACTTGCCCCATCATCGGCCCCCAATACGTTATTTTTATTTGTATTAAAAACTAAAAGCTAAAACAACAGATAAAAAGCAATAAACAAATAAAACACAATAAATGACACTAAAAAATAACAAATTGACTGAGTGAGCAGCTATAACATTAATTGAGAGTGAGATTGACAAACCCAGTATTATATTGGGACATTAATGCCATTGGGCATCACCAATCTGATGGAAGCTGCACTAAATAATTAGTAACCTGTTAGTATATGGTTTATTAGAGGAAAATTGTGTTAGTTGAATTGAAGAAAACATGATTGACTATTTCAGGGTCTATGCCACATAATCTGAAGCTTAAGGCTTCATGAAACAGCCTCACTGATAACTGGTGTATGTCTATTAAAGAAACCCTATATTATTCTTGTTTTCCGCAGTACTTCAGCCTAATTGCATATATTTGGTATGTACTTGCCAAAAAATCAAAAATCAAATAAGTTCTGACAAACCCAATGAACAACAAGATACAGAAACCGAAACTAAAATAACTGAAGAAGGCTTGCAGTACACTTAGCTCTGTTTATAAGTGCAATTTCGGATGTACAAGAACATATAATTACATATAATAAAAACACTATAAATTATGGATGACTAACGAGATATTAGATTTTATGGAACTACGGCGCGAATTTAAAAACATGTATTTGGTCAGCCCGCTCTCTACGCTACTGATCCCCATTCTAACCTGGAGCTACCTGTCTAGCCTAGATGCTTCCGCACTGTTGCAATCTAGAGCGTATGAAACTACGAGCGTACGAGCCTACCAGCGTTCGAGTCGTACGAGCATCACCACCGGCAGCCACTCGACGACCAACATCCGAATGTGTAGAGGCGTTAAACAGAGAGATCCCTTATCACCCTACCTTTTCAATATGGTGATCGATGAACTGATATGTAAGCTCGAGGAAGACATACTTGGGGCCAAAGATGGTACCAAACAGCTCCGGACAGCCGTCCAATTCTTCGAGAAGAAAGAAATGCCGATTTACGCTGGTAAGAGAATGGTTATTACAGTTAATGTTAACCGTGGTAATAAGCACACTTACTGCGTGACGCGTTCTCTCATCTAACTCTCGCCTAAATCTCATCGGTGACGACAGGATTCGGCAGTTGCAACCGAGTGAGCTGGTTGGATACCTAGGCCGAAGGTACCATGCACTTGGGCAGACCAAGGTAGCCTTCAACGAGATCCGCTTGATCGAATTCAACGAGCGGGGCTAAAACCAGCACAGAAACTGCTTGTTTGAAGACTTACTTGTTGCCGAGATACGTTGACAGGTCCGTTCGTATAGCTTCTCGAAAGGTTCTATCCCTCAATCGAACGTTGCCGATGCCTACATATACGCACCCACAAAAGATGATGGTCCGGATGTAATGGCCATGGTCATTCACGCCCCATCTATCATGAGGAGACTGACAAAATTGATTAGCTTAGCAACTGAAACTACCGCATTATCCCTCTCACTACTATATATGTCACGTCTCTGGAATAAGGTCCTCAAATGGACACGTTCATCATCAGGCAGTTCCGCATCAATCGCATCCGAGTTGAGCCAGAAACTTGAAGACGGCTATAGAGGAAACGGACTTCGTCAGGGCTCTTCACACTCAGAGAGCTCTGCTTGGATAAGCAATCCACCGCCGTACTGATCTGGGAGAGATTATATCAAGGCGATTCAGCTAAGAGCAAATCTACTGACAATTAGAGGCATCCCTTCAAATGCACCACAGGAGCGTAGGTGCCGAAAGGGATGCGAACGTAATGATAGTCTAAATCACGTTCTTCAAAAGTGCCCCGCAGCCCACTGGCACCGAATAAAGAGACATGATCAGCTCGTTACGTACCTTCGAAAAGCAGCTGAAAAGAAAGATTGGAAATGCGAGTCAGATCCGCGCAGCAGGGTGATCGTGATTCCAGACCATGCAAACCCGATATCCTGGGAAAACTATTTGTATGGCACCTACTTTTTTTTTTTTCATTTTTCCCATTTTTCTACTTTTCTGTCGCAATTTATGCGAGCCCGCGACATTATTTGGCAGACGAAGTTAGTAATAGGGTAGTAAGGAGGGGCATGGTGGATCTCGTGCGATTTAATAACTGGTGGAATACCGCACCATAAAGCCATAGGCTACTGGTCTACTGGTCTGTTACTTTCCGGATCGGAACAGACCAGAACGACAAGGCCGGCTTTCGGATAGCGGGGGTTTGGTTACATGATGAACGTAGCCACCCAACCGGCATCGCCCCGTCTGCATATCAAAAGAGGTATGGATCCACTCTGATGGCGAATCTCTAGAAACCTGTTGAATGAGGCGACGGTCCGCTTAGAGACTTCCGATGGAATTCAAGAATAACGGGACAACATATATAAGGAAAATTAAGTTGTAGAGAGTTAATCTAAAAATATATTTGCAGTGTTCAGTAAATAAATGTTATAAATTAATTGTATTTTTAGTGTTAGTGTAAGACTGTTAATAGAAACAAAAATAAACGTCTCACACGTAAATACGAAAGTATAAAGAAACTCACGACACTTATTATAACAAAGATTAGGAATGAGTGGATGTCTTATTAATTTCCAACCTGTGATGAGATTCGTACATAATTGGGCATAGACATGAGACAAAGAGATTTAATCGTAGGATTCTTCATAATTTGACTGGTATCCATAAGCTGGTATCCATATTCAACGGAGACACTTCAAATTTGGTATGGAAGATAGTGACTCACGATGATATATGGATATATTGCTATATATAATTCAAACCGAAGAACCAATTAACGGTATAAGTGTTTCAAGATGTCGTTAGAGAATTGTAGATCTGCCAATGTTGAATGTAATACAACCATTTGTTTGCCAACATTAATTGATAAACTTTGCAAAAATAACGGGAATCGTCGCAACCTCTTGGGTTAAGTTAATGCATTTGAAGGAGGAAAATATCGACTTGGTGGGCCGATCAATTTGAAATTTCCCCGCATATTTTCTTATCCTTCTATTTTATTTGTGCAAAACTTTTAATGAACGCCTTGTATGTTGCAAAAATTTTCGGAAAATTTGTAGTAGTGTGATAATATATTAAGTATTGTGACTTAAAAATGGTGCTTGAGGTTAACAATCCTTCCAATTGTAATAAACGTGTGTTAAAAAACATTTTTTTTCAACCGTGAAGGACTCTTGCTCATAGAGTTTATATCGCCTTGAGCTCATATCAACGCAAACTTGTATAATGAAACCTTGAACAAGCTCCATCAACCAAAAAAACGGAGAAGTCCAGGGCTCTCAGAAGCTCTCACGTAGTATAATTTTTCTACACGACAGTGTACGGTCTCAAGTTACCAAAGTAGTGACAGAAAATCTACAATGAAGGTAATAGAGAATATTAGAGCACCCACTATAGTCCCGATTTATTGCCTTACGATTTTCACATTTTTGAGTCACTGAAAAAGGAGTTAACATATAAATTTTTTCAGTCGGACAAGGAAGTACAAAAAACCGTAAACGAATTCTTTGAGCAAAGGCCACAAGAATTATTTAAGCAGGGTATACATCGGTTACAAAAAATTAGTAAAAAATACCGAAAAAAAAAACAAATTTTGAAAAATATTCCCTGAATTGTCAGAAAAAGCTATGAATAGTGACTAAAAGACAGTTTAATGAGCAAAATGGAGCATTACTTACCCGAAATTCTCTTAAACCTCACTCCATTCAAAGACAAACGCGGAAGCTTGCATACTTCTATTTCCCATTGCACCAAACTGTCGGTATTCGGATCCCCGTGCACGCAGAGCAACAGGAACCGTTCGCGTTGTTCATAATCGCAATTATTGGCGTCCAACACTTTGCGAATCTCGGCCATTATTTCGGCGGGGTCTCTGCTCGAGGTTGTCTTCATCGACCATGTGAACCTCAGAGAGCGGGGCTTCACGTGGTCTTCGTTTGGGGTTCCCTGAACTCTGTAAATACAAAAAAAAAATCATTAGTACATTAACAAATCTCCAAGAAAACTCACCACTAAATTGTTGATAACAATGTAGTAATAGTAATTAGCACTAGAGTAGCACTGATATACTAAGTTTATTTTATTTTAAAATTGATCTTCACATTAATTGACACCACGTGCCGTCGCTCATCAATCTAATCAATTTTAATCAAATTGATCACATATTAATATCTAATCCGTGGGCAACCTCCATAACGGATGTTAGAACTTATAGATTCACAAATTGCAATTCGGACCATTTCTTGGTTATACCGAAGATAAAACAAAGAATATCAATGTTAAAGACGACAAACAAAGAAAATGGAACACATATATGTTTAAAAATCCTAAAAAGAAGAATGGGTACCAGGAGAAAATAAAAGTAATATTAAATGAAAGAGGAGAACAAAACAACATTGAAGAAGAATGGAATGTCATCCAAACGACAATTACAAATATGGCAAAGGAAACATTAGGTGAAACCTCAAGCAAAAGAAACGTGGAATGGTTTGACCAAGATTGCAAATAAGTAATAAATAGCAAAAATATAGCTAGACAGAAATATCTATACGGGGATTCCCGATTGAATAGAAGGGCATATGAACAACTCAGACAAGATGCAAAGAAAATATGTAAAAGGAAAAAGAGAGAAATGTTGAATAGAAAATACAACAAATTACAGATTATAATAACAGAAGAGATACTAAAAAATGTTACAAGGAAACCATGCAGTACACCTAAGGATACATGACAAGATCAACAGTCTGCAAGGACAAAAATGGGGCAATTATCAGCTAGAAAGAGGAAATAATAAAAAGGTGGAAGGAACATTTTCAGTAAGTTCATTCTGCATGCCTACCATTGCTACTGTTGAATCCGTCGTCGTCATTATCAGTTGAATATATTTTGAGAAGTGTTTTAACTAGTTTTTCCTTATTGAACCATATCTATGTTTATATTGCTGTGTAAAACCACAAACTGTTTTATAATGAATCGTTAATTTCGGATGGAAAACTTCGGTAGAAAATAAAAGAAGGAAGGTTAGGGAAGAGGAATTTGAAAATGGATGTTAGCTGTAAATAAGCGCATTAAATTTCACTTCATTTAGCATATACATTTTAAAGCTAGTGTATCAAGAAACTATTAAAATTTCAAAACATTTCTTATTTTTGTAATCTCCATCTCTTGTGACACTTCTCTTCAACATTAGTATTTAAAAATAATCAACAATTTATTAATTCTTAATTTGTCAGTAAGAAAATCATAGCATGCTTAATCAAAAATTAATAATTGCTTTTTTTACAAAGCTGGAAGAATATTATATCGTTTAATGTTTAATTCATTCAAATATTCAAAACATTTCAGAAACACTTACATAATTTAAATACGATCATACAAGATAATCAAATATCGTAAAAAAACTAACCTGAAAACAAAATTTATAATATATTTGTAGCAAAAAAAAACATTATTGTCACTCAAGGGCAAGAAACGCGTCAAATGAAAGCTCATAAGTTAGACGTACGTATGCTCCACTTTTAACAAACTTTATTAAAATAAAAACAGTTAAAACTATCGCGTTTGAAGCCGCCCAGATATCTTATCAATTTTTGTTAGAGTATCATTTGAAATTATTATAGTTAGCAAAAGCAAATTTATCTGTTTATATTTTTTAGGTTAGTGACCTAAAAGGTTTTTTCATAGACATATTACCTCGCTCTGTAACCTAAACCCGTTCTCCAAGTGCGACAGAGAAAAAAGATAACCAACAATCCTTGCATCTGTTTCTAATGGCTGGGGTTTATCGACCACGTGACCTTCCTATTACCTAACAATTTCCAGTCGGAAGATGACGTGGTCGATAAATTCCTCCGTTAGAAATAGATGCAAGGACTGCTAGCATCTTTTTTCTCTGTCGCACTGTAGGAACGGGTTTAGATTGCAGAGAGCGATCTAGGTATTATGTCTCTGTTTTTTTTTTTCGATTGAAGTTACTAATTGAAGCTTTTCATTTATATTTATATTACATTTAAGTGTAGTATAAACATTTAACTGAATACAACACCATTATTTTTTGGTCTTGTATGAGCTTCAATCACTTCCGTGATAAACTTGATACCAGTAAGTGAAAAACTAACGATTATTCACTTACTAGTATATATTTTGGAAATGATACATTTGATTAACTTTACTCAACGATTCTCCACCCACTCCATTCAGGAGTAAGAATGAAGTACATGTTAGGCTGTTGATCAATGTAATTGTAGCACTGCCCGCCATTTTCATTGCACCTCTGAAGGAGTTACTTCCAAATGAACCGAGATTTCAGAAACACTCTTTGATCGGTAATTTAGGAGTGACTAAGTCCAATTCTAAATATGAGTTGAGTTAAAACTACTTAAGATCTACAATTTTTCCAACTTTGTATTCATATAAAATTATTTTTCAAACGTGTTTCACACCAAGTCATGAATTACAAGTGTTACACACGACAATACAGGAACAATAAAAACATTCACAGACCAATAGATCACATGAAAGTTAAGAGTGACATAGATGCTGTGTTACTGTGTAAAAATGAAATAAAAGTAGCATGGTCGCCGTGAACCTCTTGGGGGATTCCCAAAGCTATAAGTTTTAAAATATCGCTGCAAATTTGAAAAATTGTTTTCCAGTTACTTTCAATTTCAAGTACATTTTGATAATGAGAATTAACCGTTTTTAAATGAGCTTTATTATTACATATGAATTTTGGCAATAGACAGATATATCTTTTATATACATACATTCTTTAAATTAACTATTATATTACCCTCTCTCGTATTACTCTATTATTATGTCTTTATTTTAATTATATTTTGATTATGCTTGTGACAGATTCCTCTCTTTGTTGCTTTTGTAAAACAAAATATTCAGTTTATCTTTTAAACGAGATTGAGACTAAGAAAAGTGACATATTGATTCAAGAATATACTGTCTTGGAACCTGTATTGCGCTTCTGTTTCGTTGTTCCAAGGTCGTTCCGATCTATTTCGTTTCTTCTGACTTCAAGTCAAGTTCAATAATACGTGTTTGTTAATCATATTTTTCCTTCAAGTAATCGTAACAGGTGACCAAACAACATTCTTTCCTCAGACGCTTAAGTCTTCAAAACCTCGCACTGTGTCTTAGATAGTTCATTTTAATGGCATTTGTTCGTCGTTTGATTTCTGCATTAATGATCTGTAACAGACAACCGATTCTACTGCTTTTTATTACATCAACGGGAGTCTAAGAAAGTCTTGTGGCATTGTTTTTTTTTTCATACAATCACAATGTCCCGCCTGTCTCCCACCATATATTTTTATCTTCCTTTTCTACTCCTTCAAGCAGCTGAAGTTTAACGTATTTTCCAATGTGTATTAGCCGGTATAGTACATCGCACACCTATCGTATATTGACAGGGAAAAGTATGTTACGGTTCCAAACATGTTCTGTATTGGATAGTGCTCATTCGATAGTCTGCAATAAACTGCTTCTTCTTCTACTTTTTATATAGACATGACTCTGTCTGTTTTTCAATGTGCCTCCAGTAAGTTGTCATTCCATCGTTGTCGTGGTCTTCCTACTGATCGTCTTCCTATTGGGGAACCGTCTCTTGCCGTCTTTACTACTCTATTTGTAGTCATTTGGCTTATATGATCATTCCATTCTACTCTTCTATTTCTTATCCAGGTTTTGATGTTCTCCACCTTGCATCTACATTTCCACCGCAACAGTCATATCAGAAATGGAGTGGGTATTATTTTGAACAACGAGTGGAAGGAACATCTAGTAAGGGTAATTCGAAGATCCAACTAAATGCAGGCGATACAACATGAACACCATATGTACCTACGCCCCACAGCTGGTTGTGAAGAACAGAAAAGTGAAGAATTTTGGAGTGCCCTTGATTGCACGATGCTGGAGATTCCTTTAGATGAAAAGTGATATATCGGAGGTGATTTGAATGGATACATTGGTAGAGAAAGAGCGGGAATATAAGGAATTCATATAGGTTTAGAGATGGGAATAAGAAATAATGAAGTATATAGTGTGATGACATTGTAGTGACATGGGATGTGGCTGTGGCTTTATGAAAACTGAAGACTAGTATTTTAGTGCTATGTAGAAGAAGCCAGCTATAAGAGTGTAAAATAATAATGGGTGTGAAACACCGAACAATGATAGGGGATATGGAAAAAACAGTGAGGCGAAAAGAAAAGTAAATAGGACATAACAAATTAAAGTGTTGAAAGTTTTTGGCAAAAGTCATTAAGAGCAGAATGCTGGAAGAGTTTCAGAAGAATAGGATAGGAAGATAAGGATACATACAGGGTAGGAAAGTGGAAAGCAAAGTGTGCTGTAGCTAATGCTAAGAAAATATCGTCTGCACAGCTGTATGGAGAGCTGGAAACATCCGAGGGAATGAAAAGGTTATACAGTATTGTCAAAGCAAAGGAGAAGCCATCAAAGGACTTAGGTAGGCAGATTAAAAGTGCGAATGGAAGTGTTAAAAACCGATGTGGAAATAAAGCAAAGATAGTATGATTACTTTAGAAGGTTGCTAAATGAAGAACACCATAGAGGAGACAAGATGCGGGATCCTAAATGAGAATGTAATACTAGGATAACGAGACGCGAGGTTGTCGAATGTCGAGGCTTTAAATGGGATGAAGAATGGTAAGGCAGTAGGACCTGTAGGAATACCTGTGAAGGTTTAAAAGGCTTTAGGAGAGGAAAGAGTTTAGGTGTCGACTGCTGTCAGAACCATTCCATCAACAATTATATGTATTGGGTTGTTCCAGTCCTTAAAATCTCCAATCAGGTTATGCATGCTATGCCTATTATATTCCACATGTTGTCACAATAATTTAATATGAACATTTATCAAATAAAAGAAGTTTGAAAAACTTCAACGTTAATTATGTATCTATTTCTAACCAAACCCAATATAAAAAAACCGACAGTTCACTTTCAGTTACGCGAGAAATCTCTTACAACTGGAAAAACAACTCTCGTCTTGATTTTCACTTACCCCACTGCAGGTAAAGGTGAGTTGCCATGTTTAACTTGTTGACCTGGTTCTAATGCTCTGAAAATAAAAATTAAAACAAAATGATAGAAGACAATGGTATATTAGTGATGGTATGTATGCGGTATGAGTATTTTAAAAGAAAGAAAAACTAAAACGAGTACAACATGAGTGTTAATTCGGTAACTGGACGTATTTGTCATGCAATGTATGTAAATGACTACTTATGCTCAAACAGGACTAGTTTTTCGTAGTTTATCATGCTGTCATTTTCTTCTTTTTAATAATGATATAGAGTTGTGATGATTTTCTCAAAGCCAATTTTGAAGGATGCAATTACTAATCTATCTGCTATTGGTGATTTTGGAAACTAGAACATATCAGCATACAATATACGTATGGATTTGAAAATGAACCTTCGAAGATTCCTAATATACTTCGTTTCCTAGTATACTTACTATCAGACGTTGCCACTTTAAATTTTTTTTTGTGTTTTTCAAAAAATTAGTGTTTTCTGTTAAAATACACTAGTAGTAGTTATGAGTCTCTTGATGTCCGGGTCTGTTGGCGCCACTTTTGCGATAAGGTGTATTCGTTTGTGTAAAAAAAGTCACGTTTTACGTCAAATGTCACGTTTTACGTCAAATTTTAAGTTTTACGTAAAACCTGATACTTGACGTAAAAAGTGACATTTGACATAAACCGTGACATTTTTATGTGACATTTGACGTAAAACGTGACATTTTTTTACACAAACAAATACACCATGTCGCAAAAGTATCGCCAACAGACCCTGGCATCAAGAGACCCATAATTACTTAACACTCCAGGTGCAAAATAAACGCAACAGGTTAATATTAGTCAAAACTTGTGATTTTTTAATTTATCTTTAGTAATATTATAACAATTACATGAACAAAGAGTAGACAAATGACCAATTTGGGGAATTTGGCTTAGGACTTAATCCATTACCCACAAATCGTATATTATGGTTGACATAATGGTTAACATACTATTACAATATGATCTTGTTTAATTCAGTGACTGGCACAGTGGAATTGTTTTTTCTGTTGACGGAAATACCGTGTGTCCATCAAGTATGGAATTAATTCGATATTTCCTAAATGAAAAAGCTTTTTAAAATAATCTAACACACGTCGACTTCTAAGTTTAATGTTCTACATTATACAGCAAACTTTCATTATAAAAAGGTGATACACATTAAGGCGATGCCGTCATCGGCTCTTTGTTTAAATGTAAAAACCTATATTTTATAACATTTTTAGATTGATACAAATGAGCTGATTCCAAAAAAGCATAATACTCGGGGTCTAATGGATATAATTTGAAAGATATACGCTTAGAAAATAAATTATTTATCATCAATTGCAAAAAAGTAGCCTACTACTAGTTTTTAGTGAAATGTAATTATTTTTAGTAACGTTCAATAACAATTAAGTAGTACAATAATTGTATTAATTCGTGAATGTTCTGTATTATTATATTTATTATAATTATAATTATATTTATTATAATTATATCCACAGTGAAACAGCGCAAGCTAGAATATCTTGGACATATAATGCGAAACGACCATAGATATAAACTGCTGCAACTTATATTACAGGGAAAGGTCTACGGAAAGAGGGAACCAGGAAGAAGAAGAATATCATGGCTCGCGAATTTACGAAAATGGTTTTCCTTGACAACTTCAGGACTATTTCAAGCTGCGGTCAATAAAGTTAGAATTGCCATGCTAGTTTCCAACATCCGTAACGGATAGGCATCACAAGAAGAAGAAGGGGCCATTTGAAGGATGTTGTTTATAAAACGAAAGCTGCAAATATTGAAGACTTAAAAACAAGAATTCGTAAAGAAATAAACATTATTTCTCTAAAAACCATAAACAATGTTCTACAAGAATTGGTACAACTTTTGGGTCACGGTCAAATACAACAAGGGCTACAATTCGAACATTTAAGATAAAGTCATGTATTAATTACTAGATTACTTTCAAGTTATTATAATTTATTTATAATTTATTAATATTATAACTGAATAAAAATTAATTTTCTAAGCGTATATCTTTCAAATTATATTATTATACTTTTTTGGAATCGGCTCATTTTTAGCGATCTAAAAATGTCCTAAAATACAGTGGGTTACATTAAAAAAAAAGGAGATATCGAATTATACCATACTCTATGGACATACTGTATACTATATTCACAGATCAGAAGGATCGTAGATACTCGGGTAGCTACGAGTAACGGGTAGCTTTAATTTTATTTAAAAAAAATCCTTCAAGTTTTCGGACTAATATGTGCATCATCAGTGCAGTTACCAGGTATACATGAAGGAAGCCACTAAATATGTGAGTATTTAAACGATGTTCATTTTGTTAATTAATACATGTTGGTTGTTAAATTTAAATAATGTAGTTTGAAACAGATTTACATCATTGCAACGCAAGATTCCCAGGAGTCAACCCAAGAGAAGGTATCTCTATGGATCCTCGATAGCGACTTCAATTGCTTGGGTTTCAATTAATCAGTTGTATTTACAAAACAGCATAAACACAAACGAAAGGTTTCCGCTAATATATGGAATAGTTAACATCTAATTTGTTTCTTTCCTCTCTTATCTGACTGAGATCTTCAAGAGAAGGAATTCGATTCCTTTCCAATCCAATGATGAAGCATTTTCAACGAGAGATTGTAGTGATTTGTAGATCCTTTGTCAAAAATTCTTTTCATTCTATCGAACTTCTTAAACAATACCCTATCTCATTGTCAGACATTCTAGTAAGTTTCGATATCGTTTCACTCTTTACAAACATTCCTATATACGAAACTCTAAACATTCTGAAAACTAAATACAGTATCCAGCAAGACAACTTATCTCTCGTTAAACATTGTATGTCCAAAAGTTATTAGTTTTTCCAAAATCAATTTTACAGATAAGTAAATGGTGCCCCAATAGGCTCCCTACTATCTACAGTAATTATCAATATGTTTATAGAAGACTTCGAGACCCGAGCACTATTCACATCAATGCTCAAACCCACATGTTGGCTACGATATGTTGACGATACATTCGTTATTTGGCCTCATGGCAGGGATAATAGTGTCTTTTCAGACCCATCTGAATGGTATACATCCTAGTATCCAGTTCACGATGGAGGTGGAAACTGATTCATCCCTACCGTTTCTCGACGTTATCATAAAGAAAAACCCATCCCAATGTTTTCGTCACTCTGTTGTATGCAAGTGGATATGCATCATTCAGTTAGTGGGGATTACTATTGTGTGAGTGTTTTGGCGGAAAAAGTTTATAGATATTTCAACGAACTCATTAGTCGTTGCTAGTTTGAGCCTTGAAATAAAACTTTTGAGCTAGTTAACTTTTGTTGTCAATGGCTTACAGTGAATTATTTGTGTATCTTCTCTTGGTCAGATAGCTTAGATACATCTTGTAACATGGCGTGGTTAAGAGGCTTACGATCGGATTCTACCGTTGGTATTTTGACTTCCATGCTGGGTGTACTTTTGAGGCATTATCTCTATTGTTTAGCTTTCTATTGCCTTGTTGTTTTATTATGTAATGCCCTGAGGTCTACTTTGTATCGAGTGGTACATTTATGTGTGTTAAGAAAGACAATATTTGCTGATTATTTAGACTTTCTTTGTGTTTGCCTAGCCTGCTGAAGATTTGTCGATTAGTTTGTCCTATATATTTTTGGTCACTAGTTCCTCCGGATATCCTTTATGGATAGAAACAATAGATACACCGTCTGTACATGTCTCAAAAAAGTAGCTGATTTTAAACAGTATGTAGTTAAATCCATTGTGTAGCCTTCATTTTTATGACATCGTCTTGCTCTACAAGTAGTTTGATATGATATCGAAGACTAGTGGTTGCTAGGATGGCAGCTAGATTTTTCTACTACATTGACTAGCAAATTAATGGCACTATGGGTACAAGTTAGACTTGTAGGTCTTCAAATTCCATTTAACCGATAGAGATAAAGAGAATGTATTGAATGTCATAGAGGCAAAGACTATGCATATAAAGATTTTTCTACTCATTACGTTTACTGATCAAATACTAGATACGGCTTATATTTAATTTGAGAAGAAGAATCCCAATGAAGAGTGGGAAAAGCTCTGGACCTGACATGCTTCCTATAGAAATCCTAAAAAGTTTTAAATGAGAAGCATATTGATGTTTTAGTAACACTCTTGAACCAAATTTATAGTTCAGGCGTATTACCCAAAGAGTAGTTAACGTCGATTTTTATTTGTCTCTACAAAAAGGAAAAAGCAAGGGAGTGCAGCGATTACCGCACCATTAGCTTGATGTCTCATGTGCTTAAGTTATTACTAAAAGTCATCCATAACCTTACCACCCATTATATATGGTCCTTGCAGGGACAGCATGACAAATGAATGGAGGAGCAGATACAACAATGAAATAGAGACTCTCTTCGGGAAAGGCAACATCGTAAGATACATAAAAGCCAATAGATTAAGATGGGCAGGCCACGTGGTACGGAAAGATGACGACAGACTGATTAGCAATGTATTTTGGGAAAGACCAGATGGTAAAAGATCGACAGGAAGGCCTAGAAAAAGGTGGAAAGACGCTGTCAGGGAAGACCTGGAGAAGATGGAAGTAAGGCCATGGGAAATAATAGCACAGGATCGGAATCAATGGAAGGCAATAGTAAACGCGGCAAAAACTCACGAAGAGTTGTAAAAGCCAATGATGATGATGATCCATAACCGAATATATCACAAACTAGACAAAGTTAATGATACTTCTTCTTAGGGTGCTTGTCCGTTCCGAACGTTGGCGATCATTCTGGTTATGATGACTTTGTTGGTTGCTATACGAAATAGCCGTGTTGAGGTCTTTCTATACCATGCTCTCAGGTTATCAAGCCAGGATATTCTTCTTCGTCCCGGGGCCCTTTTTTCCTTCAATTTTACCTTGTAAAATGCATTCAAGTTAATGATACACAATTTGGTTTTCGCAAAGGCCTGGGACCGCGTGAAGATCTTTTTCACTTAATATACTGATACAAAGATGCCTGGACGTCAATCAAGATATATACGCGTGTTTTATTAACTATAATAAAGCATTCGATAAAGTACGACATAAACAATTAATAAATGTCCTAAAATCAAAGAAGATTGACTACAACGACCTCAAGATCATATCAAATTTATACTATAAACAGCGAGCAAAAGTACGTGTAAATGAACAGCTGTCAGAAGAAATTTAAATTAGATGTGGAGTGAGACAGGGATGCGTATTGTCGCCAATCCTTTTTAATGCCTACTCCGAAGAGATCCTGAAAAACGCTCTTGAGGGTGAAACAGCTGGAAGAAAGGTAAATTGAGTTCCCATTAACAACATTAGATATACAGACGACACTGTGATCTTAGCAGAAAATATTGAAGATCTTGAGACACTGGTAACTCGAATAGCGGAGTGTGGAAAAGAGTATGGTCTAACAATAAATGTCAAGAAGACGAAATTTATGAGAAGAACTTGAGAAAGGCAATCAGCCGAAACAACTGTAGTGATAAGAGGTTAAGTTTTGATTAAGAGGTTTGTGGAAGTTTGAAAACAAAGTTTTCAGTGTTTTATTGTTACATAAAAAATAAAAATATAAAACGTGCAGTAATGCTCAATATATATATAAGACCTTAATACGACCGGTTTTGATTTATGTGGCTGAAACACGGACCTTATCTCAAAATGATGAAAGACCTCTTGGTATTTTTGAGAGAAAAATCCTTAGAAAGATTTTTGGGGCCGTAAATGAAAGTGGACTTGGTGTGGTAGATTCTAAGGGTCAGAAGATGGAGGGAAGTTGCCAAGAATCGACAGGAGTAACGACTTCTTTGTGAGCAGGCTAAGATCCACAATGGATTTTCTATCCACTCATGATCATGATTAGGAGCCACATACAACTTACCCATTTACAAATTTATCCATAAATAATAAATATTATTTTTTTAATTTGCAATCAATTTTGTCTTATGGAAATTTTTTTTAAAATTTATTTTTTCCAAATTATTTAATAAAAAATTTAGCCCATCTGAATTTGAAGTTTACGCATAGTTAAATTATCAGTTCTAATAATATTTCAAAGCGATTAAAGCAAAAAACTAGGATTGTATACGATTCATCCAAGTGATGGTGTTAGAACAGATACTGCCTGGACCAAAGAGCAAGAAGAGAAGACGACCAACAGACGCGTTGAGAGAGTAAGTTTGCAAATAAAATTGATACAGACAACCGTAAGATCAAACCAAGATAAACAGGGAACCATCCATTTGATCAATTTATAATTTTTCCAAGCATTCTGCATTTTAAAATGGTTAAATATGTACAAATCAATTTTATTTGTATTTTCTGTAAAATAACAATCATCAGGATGTAAAAATAGGCCAGTATGAACAATCCATGTTTATAATAAAGACCATAAATCAATGACTAATTCATGATTATCAGGCATTAAATATGTTTTGCCATGCAGTCTAATCAGCCCATAGAGAAATTCACTCTCCTTATAGCCACACATTGCGGATTATCTCAAATAGAATGCCAAAATAATGCAAAAAAAAGTATACAAAAATGGTACTCACAAAGCTCTGTTTTGATGACCGGTTTGGTTAGATTCAAGATGACTTCTGTCACTAAAAAAAGGAAATAAACATTATCAAAACAAAATAAAAACACATAAAAGCCCTCTTGAATCCATTGTGCAGGTGTTACTCCCAAATTTCTAACGCAATTAAGCCAACAGATGCTATCTTGGTATAAACAGAGCATTGCGTGTGCAGGTGATCTTTATAGTGAACTTCCCTTTGGAAAAACGTACAATTTTACGATATTGTTAGATCGATTTTCACAATAATTAAATACCTATTTTTTTGAACAATTTTAACATTGTATGCATTTCACAAAAAATATGAAAAATAGTTTATATAGAGCGCCGAACGAATATTTAGCAACATGTTCTCAAGATTATTACTTTTGTATCTTTGTAACGTACATATCAGTAAGCTCTGTCATATATTAAGGTTTATAACTCATCCACTGAGGGGTTCAAAAGGGGTAGTGAGGCGCAATACAAGATGCTGTTTCCAGTTAGCATCTCTAGCCTATCCTACTCAATTCCTATCCTCACCTCCACGAAGTGCGGCTTGGGCTGCACGGGCAAACCCCGGAGAACCTGAGCAACTCTGCTGGAGATTGGGTAGCCAACCAATGGAAGGTAGGGTCAGGGCAGACGAGGAAGGGAGAAATGGTCCTCCGAAAAGGGGATTTTGCTATGGACCAGCAATCCGTACATGGAAAAAGAAAGACGCTACGTATCGAATACTATTGCCTCGGAATAGACATGGAACACAGATAAGACCCAAGCTACAAAATAGGGACATTCTCTTAGGCACATGGAACGTGTTAAGCGCCATTCAAAAATATAAGATGGACGTAACAGCAATTCAGGAAATGAGAGGGACAGGATCGGAAAGCCTGCAAATGGAAAATTCCTTGGTTTTCTGGCCAGGAGAAGAAGAAAGGTGCGAATTTGGATGTGTGTTTGTAGTCAAACAGAACTTTTAAATCTGCCATAATTGATTTTAGACAAATCAACAAGCACATGTACTTTCTAGAACTCAAAGGGAAATGGTTTAACCTAACCCTCCTCTCAATCCAAGCATTAACGGAAGAAGCAAATGAAGACAAGTAGGAATTTTATGAAATTTTAGAAGAACAGTACACAACGGCACCCAGATACGTCAAAATCATACTGGGACACTTCAATGGCAAACTAGGTAAAGAGGATTATCTTAGATAGGTGATCGGCACACATAGCTTACATGATAAAACTAATGATAACGGATCAAGACTGGAGAATTCGCTGTAGCCAACAATATGGTAGTAAACACTACACAATTCCAAAGATATACAAAAAGTAACCTGGGTGTCAAATGACGGAATCAAACGAAACCAGATAGACCAAGTGCTTATCGGTGGAAGACATTCTAGCAATATCATCAGCCCACACAGTCTAAGGGGAGCAGAAAGTGACTCTGACCACTTCCTAGTCAGAGGAAAAATGAGAACAAGGCTAAAGACGAGATAGCCAAAGCAACGCCAACAAGAAAACAGATGGGACATTTCGAGACTCGATTTACCTGATAATGAACGCCAATATCGGGCACTGATCCAAAACAAACTGCAGACACCGGAAGAAAAAGAAACATCCAGAAACGCCAGAATTGACCATAGACCATAGCAAAATATAACGAACGCCATACAAAGTGCCGCAGCGGAAACTATAGAAAAAAAAAAGGAATAACAAGAAGAAAAATCAGTGGTTTGACCAGTAGTGCGAACAAAGCAATTAAGAAAATAGAGTCACTAACACGCCCTACAGATGAGAACAGGGACGACTACAACAGAGTAAGGACTCAAACGAGAAAACTTTTGAGAAGAAAAAAGGAACAGTACCTAGAAGCGCGAATACAGCAACTGAGTGAGGAACATAGAACCGGTCAGTCTAGACAGTTTCATAAGGACCTAAAAAACAATGAAGGGCAACACGACCAACAGCCCAAGAGTTATAAAAGACAATGCAGGACAATTGCTCACAGACGACGAGGAAATAAGCCGCCAATGGAGAAAGTATTTTGAGCAACTTTTCTTTCCCAGAGAAAAGCTCCACCTTGAGATATATCATCTTTTAAGAGAAGTCTGAGAGGACAAGAAATACCGAAACACTGGCATGAAAGCGAAGTACCTATCCACAGAAGGGAGACAAACAAATATGTCGGAACTACAGAAGAATATCGTTAATCAACACCACGTACAAAATTATATCCATAATACTGTCTAGAAGACTAACTCCATACGCAGAGGAAATGATAGGCGACTACCAAAGCGGATTCAGACCAGGAAGGTCGGCCATAGACCAGATATTCGTCCTACGCCAGGTTTTGGAAAAAAACTGGGAATTCAACCGCGATGTATACCAAAATTTTAAATAAGCTTACGATTCTGTTAGCATATAAGCATTGTGGGAGACCATGGTAGAAATGGGAGTACCTGGAAAGCTGGAACGATTAGCACAGGTGAGCACAGAGCACGCTTCCGCACGGATCGGAATTGGCAGAACCACGTCGGAGGAATTCCTCATTGACACCGGGCTTAGACAAGTGGATGACGTGAACACAATTGCATAATCCACCAGAGATGCAAAAGAAGTTTGCACCCGATTCGAAAACTGAGCCAAGGAAGTTGGTCTGAAGATCAACGAGGACAAGACCAAGTACATGGTGGTTACGAAGAACACAAGGCCAAGGGTTAGACAAAACGTAACAATCAATGAATACAACTTTAAAGTCGTCAAAGAATTCAAGTACCTAGGAGCGATCATAACATCTGAAAATATTACTGAGGGCATATTACTCATTATTGACTGTACAATACCAGCAAAAAGAAGAGTGTATAAGACAATAATTCGTCCCACAAAAACGTATGGAAGCGAGACATGGACTCTGAACCAGCAAGAAACGACAAAATTACTGGTACTGGAAAGAAAGATACTGCGGACTATCTATGGGCCTGGCAGAGAAGAGACAACAGGAGAATGGAGAAGAGGACACAATGATGAGCTCCAGACAGTATATGGAGATGAAAACATAGTACGCTACATTAAAACAAACCAAATAAGATGGGCAGATCACGTACTAAGATCGAGTAACAAAAGACTCCTGAACGCCACATTCTGGGAAAGGCCCGATGGCAGAAGGTCAGTTAGTCGCCCAAGAAAGAGATGGCAGGACGCAGTAGCCAGTAATCTACACAAAATGGGAATACAGCAATGGGAAATAGCTGCTCAAGACCGACAACAATGGAGGGAAATAGTAAACGCAGCCAAGACTTACATATAGTTGTAGAGCCAAATGATGATGATGATGAACTCATCCACTACAATTAGTAATACAATTGAGTACACAGGAGATATATTTGACCACAACACTAGACTAGTGGATACTATTGAAAATAAGAGAAGGATGGAGGTTTTTAAAATAAGAATAGAAACAACTGGAGAGCAATGGGAGATGCCTATATCGAAAAGATAGAGAACGGGTGGAAAAGAAGAAAGCTCATCGGGAAGTTGTTTTAAAATCAGTTACAAAAGTACACAGGAACAGACAAACAGGAGCTAATAAAATCGTATAATTCATGAGAAAAGCACCCATCTTCCACAAATATGTATGACAGAGATGTTTTGGAAAAACAAACACATTTGACATTGAGGCAGTCAATTGACCAAAATCAAGGTAAAAATATAAAAGACATTCGTGCAATTTTCAAGACTGATTTTTGGAAGATATAAAGATATAAATGCAAATCAAAAATAAATCAGTAATAACTCCTAAAGTCTAGATTGCGGGAATACTTTATCGGACAAACGAACAGATGATACCTCCAGTGACCAGACCAAACTTAGGAAAACGCCGAAATTGCTCAAACACCAGCTGTTTCAGATACACATTACTCATAGTTTAAACTGAGTGAAAATAAAAGTTGTTTTGGGAAATAAAACAGTCCAAATTCCATCAACCTAAGGAGTCAAACAACAATCATGACAACTTTTATTGACTGACCACTATAAAGTTTCAGTTACTAGAGCCTAACCTTCAAAACCCATAGCATGAAATTTTAATTTTGTGTTTTGGCAACAAATTTGAATTATGCTTAAAAAGCGCTGAATTTAAACTTTCATATAAAAAACTAGCTTAAACGTTTAAAACTTTTTTTTTCAATTAAACTAGTACGTTTTTTAAAATAACAAAACTTCTTCAATAAACTTCTCCCAAAACCGTCTTCTTGGAGGCATTTCCCATGACGTGCGTTTATTTGAAATGTGAAACATTTAATTCTGTTTTTTATTCATATTTCAAAAGCCTTATATTTGTTGCCACAACTCAAAATTTAAATTTCAGGTCAAGTGTTTGAAAGATTAATCTCTAAAAATGGAAATTTTACTATGACTTACCAATGAAAATGATCAATTTTATTGATCTTACCAGAATCTTAAAAAATCAGAAACTGCAGACGAATGCTGCACTTTTTGGCTTTAATACGCATCTTGAATTTTGTCGACAGGACACTTGAATCAAATAGAATTTTTTACCGTCGAGCTGCTACAAATTTTATTGAACATAGATTTAATGCTAATAAACATTATTGTTTAAAAATATCTCAGCTACATTTTTTATTTGAAACTTTTTTTTCTACGACGTTCAGATTCTTCGTAAATCGATTTTTTTATGTTTTTACCCCCTACGACGGGGGTTCTAAGGCAAAGCCCGGGGGTAAAAGTGGTAAACTTTTGTACATCTTTTCTGGGGTTCTAAAATTAATATTTTTGGCAAAATTCAGCTTGTTCGTATGATTTTTAGGGGTCAACTCTCTGACGACTGAACTATTACAATAGTATTAAGATCTAGTACGTTCCCTGTCGATTCAAGGCATGATATATTTTTGTCCTTAAAGCATTTTATCACAACTTTCTTTTTTTTAATTCAGTTTCCAATCTTTTCTAACAATTTTCTGTTTTTTGTGAGTTCATCATGGTCTCTTTCGGCACAAGGATAAGAAAAGTAGTCCCAGAACATCT